ATTTGTGGGATGTGTCACTGGTGGGGCCGACATTTATTGGTAATACCTAACTGCCCTTGAGGACTTTAACGTTAACTATTACCTTATTTCTTTATTTTTCGACTTATACCATGATGGTCCATAATATTTAACTTTTTAACTTTGTTTCTTTCTTTTACTACTTTGTACCTAAGTCTTTTTGTACCTAGGTATCTTTGTACCTAAATGGCACCATGTGTACAATTTTCACTGTGTCCCTGCACATCTGTACCTGAGTAAACGCAACAATAAAATCTAAATCTAAAGATGGTGTTTGTGAGCTGCCTTCTTGAACTGATACAGTCCATATAGTGTCGGTAACCAACAATGCCAGTAGGAAGGGAGTTCTGGGATTTGGACTGCCTAATGCTGAATGAACAATGATATATTTCATATATAAGTAGCTTGGAGGGAAACTTGCAGGTAATGTGTTCCCATGTATCTCCTGCCATTGTCCTTCTATCTGATAACAGTCATTGGTTAGGAAGGAGTGCATTTTCTAGATGGTACACATTGCTGATACCATGTGTCAGTGGTGGACAGACTGAATATTTGTGGATGTGGTGCTAATCAAGCAGACTGATTTGTTCCAGATGGTGTCAAGCTTCTTGAATGTTGTTGTGGCTGTAACCATTCATGTGGGGAGTATTCCATTACATTCCTGACTTAGATGGTGACAGGCTTTAGGAAGTCAGGAGGTGAGTTGCTCACTGAAGGATTCTTAGCCTCTATCCTACTCTTGTAGCCACGTAGTTACATGGTGAGATTATTTCAGTATCTGGTCAATGGGAATCCCCAAAAATGTTGATAGTGGTGGATTCAGTGATGATAATGCCTTTGAATGTCAAAGGATGATAGATTCACTTTTGTTGGAAATGGTCATTGTCTGATACTTGTATGGTGTGAATGTTATTTGTCATGTGTCAGGCCAAGCCTGGATATTGTCCATGTTTTGCTGCATTTGGCTATGGATGGCTTTAGTATTTAAGGAGTCATGAATGGTGCTGAACATTGTACAAACATTCGAAAATATCCTCACTTCTGACCTTATGATGAAGGGAAGGTCATTGGTGAAGCAGCTAAAAATGGTTTTACCTCGGACACCACCCTGAGGAACTACTGGATAGATGTCCTGGAGTTGAGATGACTAACCTTCAACCACCTCAACCATCTTCCTTAATGCCTGACATGACTCCAATAGCAGAGAGCTTTACCACGATACCTACTGATTCCAGTTTTGCTAGGGAATCTTGATGTCACATTCAGTCAAATATGGCCTTGATGTCAAGGGCTGTCACTCTCACCTCCCATCTGGAATTCAGCTCATTTGTCAATGATTGAACCAAAGCTGTAATGAGGTCAGAAGCTGAGTAGCCCTAGTGGAACCCAAACGTGACATCACTGAATAGGTTATCGCTGAACAGTTACTGATTGTTAGCACTGTTGATGAAACCTTTCATCTCTTTTCTGACGATCAAGAGTAGACCGATAGGGTGGTAATTGGGCAAGTTGGATTTGTGCTGCTCTGTATGCACAGGACATTTGTGGGCGACTTTTCATATTGTTTGGTAGATCCAGGGTTGTAATTGTAATTGGCTGGGGACACAGCACATTCTGGAGCACAAGTCTTCAGTACCATTGCCAGAATGTCATCAGGGCTCATAGTCTTTACAGTGTCCAGTGCCTCAAACCTCTCCTTGATATCACATGGAATAACTCGAATTAGATGAAGACAGGTACCTGTGCAGCTGGGAATCTCTAAAGGAGGCCTCTGAATGTCTATGGATTGATTGAGAGAACCAAACAGAAGAAAATTAGGAACAGACACAGAAAATTGTTGGAGAAATTCTCTGTGGGAAGCAAAACAGAGTAAATAATTTGAATCTGATATGAAACTTCTTCACAATTCAAAAGTTAGGCACAATTGTGTTGGAAGTCTACGTTCTTTAGAAACTGGATAGACACAGCCAAGGCCAATTCACATAGAGCTTTGACAGCCAACATACACCAAGGGTTTTATTGTCACATGTTCAGGTTGAATACAAATTTAGATCTTGAAAGCCCAACTCTTTAAACATTTAGACTTCCCCTAGAGTTGAAAAGTTTGGAATTTTGTCTTGGAATTAACAAATATTGGTCCAACTTAAATGTGCAGAAACATGTGGCTAAAATGGAAAATCTTTTCTACAAGTGTAGTGGAATTGGAATTTGAGACTTTATTCTTAAGATCTATTATTAATACAATGTTAAAGGATGCATTCTATTAACATGTGATTTAATTGCTCTCATTTCTCAAATATTAATATACATGTCTTGACATTTGCATTGCATGTACATGTTAGCCATTTTGACAGTTTCAGTAGTATTTGCACATGCTTTGATCACTGAGAAATTCAGTTTTACACAACATTGATGCATATCGTATGACAACCCCTTAAACAGAGCTGAAGTGATTCTGGAATTTCTTTAGAGACTATGCAGTCCTGCTGTATTAATGGTAGTAAGCAGAAACACATAGAGAGTTTCGGGCAAAATTCCCATAAAGTTTCAATATTAGATTGGGAGCAGTTTTGAGAATTTCCCACCACCTTTACCTAACAAGTCACAACACAACATATAATTTAGTTCCAAAGTGAAATATATAACTATCAAACACCCTGTGGAGGTTAGTTAGTGCAGCAAACCAATGAAAGTTCATCATTGAGACTTAACCCCAGACATGGGAGTCAGGTGCAGTGATATGCAGAGATATTATGAACAGCTATATTGTTATACCTTCTCGGAGTTGCTTGACTTAGCACTATCTCAATGGGAAATGAGACACACCGTACAGAAATTCTTTGGTGAAGGCACCAATACAGTTTTTTGATGTTCTTCTGCCACGGGATGTATTCCTAAATTGTATCATATCTTCCAAGGTTTTGTTGCAAAACAAATTTACTCTTTAAGGAGATACTCTTCAAGGGCAGTACTGTGGTGACTTCCTGCAAGATATTTCACTTTGGAGAGTATGGTGATGTGAATGTTAATAGAGTTCAGCTGTTAAATCATTAATACGTCCACAGATAAAAGAATTGGTTTTGCTGCAATCATGGCAGATAATCCTGCTCTGAGGACAGAGTAACTGTTGTCTTTTTGGCTCCCTGTGACTCAGTCATGGAGAGGAAAGGTCAAGGATTGCCTTCCTACCCAGGGGCCAGCTGAAGCACACAAAGCCTTTTCCATGTCCTTCCAGTAGCATTTCAGGACTTTCACCAATGTGCATAGACTTGTGTCAGATCCTCTGGAGATGGCCATAATAGGATAACTCTGGCCCACCAAACATCAGGACCAATTCCATTGCAATTAAATTCAGACCCTGGTGTTGGCTGCAGAATGAATTTAAGCATCTAAAATGAGCTGGATATTCCTGGAATTTGGCCTCTCTCAAAAATGCTACAAATTACTAAGCCAATATTCCACTTGCACAATAGATACTCTGTGGACCACAACGATAGAGATGGCACTCAAAATCTAATTGGAATTTTACAAAATAGTTATTGGAGAAAGGATATCAGTTTATTGGATTAGTACAGAATTTGCCTGCAGTTGATGTGGGGATATAGCAAAAGTACAAATGGTTTTCACTGACGTTACCTCACACAATTGTGAATAGTAAATGAAACCAAACATATATATTGCTGTCACTGGAAGTGTAATTTTAAAGTGGATCATAGAAATAGAGAGATTTCTGTTTTTAGCTACTGACTGTCCTGATCAGCAAATTGTTTGGTTATAAATGTGTTAAATATAAACTGTGTTCTGGTTTGTATTATTCTGTACTAATCTGCTAAATCATAATGCTTTCAATTTGGAAAAAAAAAACATTCTACGTGACTTAAAGTAACTTCTTGCAATGAAAAAGGTATGTAAGTTTAAATTTGGATTCCTTTCAGGAGTTGCTGGGTGAAAGGAGTGCTAGTTCAAATATTTGCCAAATTCTGTTAATTCTGTGTTCGCAGATCTTATGCAGCAAGTGTCTCTAACTATAATTCTATGCTGAAGTGAACCTAACAATAACTTAGTACCCCTCAGGGAAAAGGCAATTTTAAACTGTAAAGTAAGAGAGAACAAGCTTTTTATAGGTAGGACTTGTTTACTCATTTGAATATTGAGACAAATACTTGACATTAAGACAAACTGTGGGATTGAAATTTTCTGCTAGTTAATGCACAAAAGACCTTTTCATATGTTCTTGCATTTGCTGCCAGAGACATAACTTCATGAACAGAAAACTATTCAGACAAAAAGGCATTTTTTTAGTAATGTATGCAGGAAAGAAAGGATTTTCTCAGCCGCATTGGGCCTGCACAGTGCTGCCTGACCCTAACGCAGCAAAGGGAGTTCAAAGCCAAAGCCAAAAAAAGGTTGTACACATAAGCCCATCTTAAGCCACCCATCTTGGCAGATAAATCCCATCAATCATTCTGCTGAGGTTCAGTATAGCCAGCTGTCGGCTGACCTCTGGATTTTGCACGAGTGTGGCTGAAATTCAACTGATTCTGCTCTGTAAGCACATTGCACTGCCTGCTTGGTCTCACTGAGCAAACCCAGCTCCAGAAAACCCTGCCCCAAGTCAACACCAATACAAGTCATAAAATCAACTTGTTGTCATAGATTCGAGCTGCAACCGTTGAATTTATAAAAGCCGACCTTTGATTCCTCAAGCATTTCAGACGAGAACGTTGGAACTCTAACACATTTGCATCCAGTCGAATATATGAATCATGCCCCAGCATCTTGATAGTCTTTACTTATTGGAGAAATCCTGATCAGTTGTACTAATGAATAAGCCAAGGTAGAGTTAACAATCTGACTGCAGGTATAATGTAAAATGAGATAGAGCAAAGTGTATCTTAACGAGTATTACTTGATTAAGAAAGATTCATTGTAAACATGTAGAAATAACACATGGCAAAGTCGGTGAAAGGCAAACAGTTTACCTCTGGGATCATGGTTTGAATCGGTGCCAGAGCAATAGGATGAAGAATTGCACTCTCTCTCTTTCTTTCTCCCACTCCAATAAATGTAAGGATCCTGTGGGAGATTCGAACAGTCTCAATAAAATCAGTTCAAAATACTAAATCAGCAGATTCACTCCAAGAAGTTGCAAGGGTGACTGGGGTGGGAAAACGATACATTTGTACAATGGTTAGGAATTAATTATTCTTACAGCATAGAAGAAGCTTTATTTGGTATCTAACACAAGCAACCCTGAATTAGACGTGCTTTCTTTCAAACTACCTATCTTAATAAATTAAAAAAAACTCCACACACAGTACAAAAAAATGTGACAAAATAACTTCAGAGGAATTAAGTTCACTGCAGTCTTGATGTTGATCCAACATCTGGCAAAAAGCACACTTACTAACCCAACATATGTGCTCATGAACCATTTCTGTAAAATATTGGTTTAGATTCAATTGAGCATATACAATCTCCAGGATCCAAAACAGTGTGGTTTTCCAGTAAGAATCCTGTAATTTACTGTGAGAAGCATTATTATACAAAAACTGAATTTATTGTTCATTTTAAATTTCTCTTTCTGCTAATGGAAACAATAGGTCTCATTTAACCTGAGCCAGTTGAGGCCTCCATTAAAACAGTGGAGAGAGCAATTTGAGACTAACTCACATGGTAACATTACACTAATGCTCAATCTTTTATCAAGCAATTGCAGTATTGTCAAAGGGAAGAAACCAAGGTTTTATTTGTGATCTTTATACTTTAAGTTGTTTCAATATTTATGCTGACTTCGACAACTTGCAGACTATTTTTCTGGTTTTTCCTCAACACGTAATGGACATGGGTAGGGAACAATTCCATGGTCAGTTGCAATCCTCAATGGTGACTATTCATTCTGTTCCAACTGAATGATCGAACACCACGGTGAGACCATGCTTGATTTCAGGCTCAACACAATCTTACCCTCGCGTGGGGTTCATAGTGAATAGGAAATGCTAGCTTGTGAACAGGAGCTGGAACAGGAACAAGGATTTTTACACACTCACTCTCTGAGATATAATGAAATCAATTGTACGATGTATAACTGCGATCAACCAACTATATCTTATGTCTATGTTCATTTCTTGTAAACAAAAACCTCGTTCCTTGCAGTTATATTTTGGTGTAAACTTTGTCACATCAGAAACATCCTCGAACAAAGTTACAATGGAAACTGCCAAGGAAGTTTGTAACTTTATAATGATATCTGTCTACAAGGAAATGACAATAAAACTTGGAACAACGGTTGGTAAAAATTGTTCTCTGAAGATTCATATATGGAAGGCTCATGTGTTGTTGTGCCTTATTGCTGTATATTCACCTCGACCATAGAAAAGCTACTAATTCTCACTCATATTTATTTCTCTGCTTCAGAAATGGATGGTGAGCAAGACTGGAATGTATAATGGAATTAGACATCCAGAGCATCCCATTGGTTGCTGCTCAGTGAGTCATAGAGTCATAGAGATATGCAGCACAGAACCAGGGCCTTCGATCCAACTTGACCATGCCGACAATGCTTCCTAACCTGAATTTGTCTCATTTGTCTGCATTAAGCCCATATCCCCCTAAACCTTTCTTATCCATGTACCTGTCCAAATGTCTTTTAAATGTTGTAATTGTACCTGCCTCTACCAGTTCCTCAGGCAGCTTATTTCCATATATGCCCCACCCTCTGTGTGAAATAGTTGCCCCTCAGGTCCTTTTTAAATCTTTCCCCTCTCACCTTAAACCTATACCATCTAGTTTTGAACTCCCCTACCCTGGGAAAAAGACTTTGGCTATTCACCTTATCTGCGCCCCTCATGGTTTGATAAACTTCTATAAGATCACTGCCCAGCCTCCAACACTCCAGGGAAATAAGTCTCAGCCTATCCAGCCTCTCCTTATAACTCAAACCTTCCAGTCTCGGTATCGTTCTTGTAAATCGTTCTTGCACCCTTTCCAGTTTAATAACTCCCTTCCTGTAGCAGGGTGACCAGAATTGTATACAGTACTCCAAATATGGCCTTACCAATGCCTGTACAACTGTAACATGACATTCCAATTCCTGTATCGATGCTCTTATGATGAAAGCAAGCAGGCCAAATGCCTCCTCACCACCCTGTCTACCTGTGATCCCACTTTCAAGGAACGATGTAGCTGCACAGTTACGCCTCTCTGTTTGACAACACTACTCAGGGCCCTACCATTAACTGCATAAGTCCTGCTCTGGTTCGTCTTACCAAAATCCAACACATCATATTTATCTGCATTATGCTCCATCTGCCATTCCTTGGCCCACTAGCCCAGTTGATCAAGACTTTTTTGTACTCCTAGGTAACTTTCTTCACTGTCCACTCTGCCACCAATTTTGGTGTCATGTGCAAACTTATTAACCATGCCTCCTTTATTCCATGGAGGTCCTCCATCATACTCAGAGCAGCTGGCAATACCATAGGTGGTGAGAACACTGAAACCTGGGATAGCAGTTCCTGGACATTGTTCTCCAAAAGCTAAGTTGAGAACAGTGTTTTTAATATCTGGGGCTCACTGTGGACCATGACTGACAGAGGGGTGTGTGATAGCTGTAATAACTCTCCATTGTCAATTACTGAACAGCATTGTGATGAGGTATGATGCCCATTCTGTACCATGCAGGAAGGCAGTGATGTAGTTCCACATGTAACAGCAAGTCATGTTTTTTTGCCATGCTACTTAGGTGACATTTTCATCATTTACTGTCCCTCAGCCATATATGACTACCAACTGGTGATTCTTCTCCTGCATGGGCAGTTTTGATGTGTCTGAGATGAAAGAATGGATCTATATAAACTTGTGGATAGAATCCACTACTCCACTGGCTGAACCTACGAGATCCCTAGTAATCCAGGCTTCTGTTGATGATTGATCAGCTAACCTTGATCACTCACTGAACTTGAAAAGAGAGACCAGTAACTGAGAGCTGGAATTCTTCTCAGTTAACTCCAGATAACTGCATTTTTTTTAGCTATTTAACTTTCAGGACATGACCTCTCAGAGTCGGGGTGTCTCAATATCTTGGAGCAGCAAAAATGCGATTAAGTGCACCGGACTGAGGTGAATGGAGTATGCTCATGTACTGATAGAGTGCGTACTGTGTGCTCAGCAAGCAGAAATTCTCCAAAGGCAGGTTGCTCAGGAGTTAGATTTAGCGACTGTTGTATTAGACACCCAACTGACCAAAAGAAAAGTAACTGCTTACTAATGGTAACCAATGCCTTAGATAGCGAAGACAAGTGATGAGGTATGATCACAACTTTTCACTTTATACATTAATGATCTAGATGAAGGAACTGTGGGCATTCTGGCTAATTTTGCAGACGGTACAAAGATAGGTAGAGGGAAAGGTAGTATTGAGGAGGTGGGGAGGCTGCAGAAGGATTTGGACAGGTTAGGAGAGTGGGCAAAGAAGTGGCAGATGGAGTACAACGTGGGAAAGTGTGAGGTCATGCACTTTGGTAGGAAGAATAAAAGCATGGACTATTTTCTAAGTGGGGAAGTCTGAAGTGCAAAGGGACTTAGGAATTCTAGACCAGGATTCTCTCAAGGTAAACTTGCAGGTTGAGTCAGTAGTCAGGAAGGCAAATGCAATTTTGGCATTTATTTTGAGAGGACTTGAATATAAAAGCAGGGATGTACTACTGAGGCTTTATAAGGCTCTGATCAGGCCACATTTGGAGTATTGTGTGCAGTTTTGGACCCCATATCTCAGGAAGGATATACTGGCCGTGGGGCAAGTTCAGTGGAGATTCACGAGAATGGTCCCAGGAACGAAAAGCTTAACATATGAGGAACGTTTGAGAACTCTGGGACTATCTTTGTTGGAGTTTAGAAGGATGAGGGGTGAATCTAATTGAAACTTACAGAATACTGAATGGCCTGGACAGTGTGGATGTTGGGAAGATGTTTCCATTGGTAGGAGAGACTAGGACCCGCAGGCACAGCCTTAGAGTAAAGGGAAGACCCTTTAGAATGAAGATAAGGAGAAACTTCTTCAGTCAGAGAGTGGTGAATCTATGGAATTCAGTCCCACAAAAGGCTGTGGAGGCCTGGTCATTGAGTACATTTAAGACTGAGATAGATACGTTCTTGATTATCAAGGGGATCAAGGGTTACGGGGAGAAAGCAGGAGAATGGGGTTGAGGAACTTATCAGCCATGATAGAATGGCGGAGCAGACCCGATGGGCCGAATGGCCTAATTTCTGCTCCTATGTCTTATGGTCTTATGGTCTTAAGATATTTGTGCCTGATTAAAATTACTTTTGCAATTATGTTTCTATCCAAAACTGCCTGTTTTTAATTGAATCACCAATGGATGGTTTGTCTGCCTGCCAGTTATTCAAAATTAAAGCCTGCTCACCCTGTTCTTATTTCCTTTTTTTTCCTGCTGAAATGAAGGGATTCTAAGCAAAAACATTTGTAAGCAGAGCCTTTATTTTACTTTTGTTTTAGTTTTTGAGTCCCAATATAAGCTTCATAGGTACATCATTTGGAGATACTGACTGCAACTTATTGACCTCAGATACAAGCTGCAGTCATTATTCACTTTTCAAATTGAATTACAAGTGTTTGCAAGCAGTGTAACCATTAAAAAGGTTTTGCAAGTTCCCCTCTTACACGAATATTTGATGAACTGTAACACGCTGCCAGAGAAATCGCAACTCCCTTCTTCCCTATATATTTTTAAAATTTTTGTCATGTGTTAAGCTTTGGATTAAACATTGATTGATGCCTCAGAGATTGAGAGGGACACTATCTGCACTGCTGGCCATTTGCCAATTACTTTTTAACCAACTGGGCCTTGCCTTCAAGCAAAAGGATATATTTTCCACGTTGTCTGACAAATCCATGCCAATCACTGAAGCTAGCCCTCCTCAAGTAAAGCTACACCATAACCAAGTAATCAAATACATTGAGGAAGCTCACAAAAGCTTTTTCCAAGCAAAATTTGTGCAATGCCTAAGTCTGCAAGACAAATTACATCTACCAACATTGACATGTTGATACAATT